TTAATATTACATTTTAGTATTTGCATAATTGTCTCGAAAGCGAGTTAGTGAAAAATAACCTGATTGGTATATCATTTTATATTTATATAATAACTTGTTTGCGATAGTACTTGCCATTGATTAATCATTTTTCTAAAATAAACTACATTGGCTTATTGTACGGTCATGATATCAGTCATATGCCAAATTATTTTACATGTAATGTAATAATACAATAATGTTATACCATATCTTAATAAAAATTCTAATCTTTGTGGTTGAGTATAAACTGACAGATTAATTTGAAAAAACTATATAAATAAAGTATAAATTATTTATTTTTACGAAGGAATTTAAAAATTGCAAATATGTGTTTTTAAATTACTTCTTTTGTATTTGACTCTTGGTTATTATAGCACTGCCGCAACATGAAGAAATTTTTTTAATGGCAATATCATTCCAAAGAGCATCCTCATGACCCAGTGGTTAAAACCTTGTTCTTTCAACCAGAAATTTGCTGATTCTATACCAACTCGAAATACTTAGATGTTTCAATAAACACACTTGATTTAAATATTTTTGTTTTCATTAAAATTCTACATATATTTATAATACATATATTTGAGTGTAAGCTAATTTATGTTTTATTATATTTTTTGTATTGGTGTGTACTGATGTTTAAATATCGTTCCTTTACTGATATTATTTAATCTTTTCGCTACTAATGTCGTCCATAGACGACCCATCCACACGTGTGTACGGACGACATGCTTGCTTTCGCTTCAAGATTTATCGCTATGATTTAAACTATTGAGAATTCTAGTTCCCTGCAATTTTTTAATTGATAATCATACAAATATGGTAAAATGTTGTGCCTGTTCGTTCAGTAGTGCAACGGAGCGGCTCTGTTTTCGTACAGCAGGGACACTTCTGTGGAAAGCACTGTTGTTTCGTAATAAACAGTTCAAAATATAACATATAGGTTTTTTTCAGATAATTCTTGTCTGATTTCAAAAGTGTATGAAAAAGATTTTAATTGAAAATAGTGCGAAGATTTGGTGAATAAATCGGCCAAACCATTTTAATTTAGTTGGATGTTTATCTTTTATTTTTTCAAAATATCTAATTAATTAATTAATTTTCTAAATACCAATTTTTGAATTGACTAATTCATGATCCAAAATATAAATTACATGTGGCACTTAGTATAATAAAACATAATTTAGTATTGAGACTAATCAATAATTGCTTAGCAATTTTAATCGCTTTTTTAATAAAATTCGTATTTAAATCAATGGGCCAAAAAAAAATTGCGACGCTTTGCTATTATGTACAAATGTAAATTATATTTACATTTAATTGCAAATTATTATTTAATATTTTACGTACAATACAATAATGATATAAATATTTGATGACATGATTTAAATGATATTAATGGTTTGAGATGAATCTGTCATCTCAGCATTGAGTTGACGAATTATTACTGAAGAGATATTAATTACCGGTTCTCTTCTTGCTATGCATTTATCGATTTTAATTTACATCATAACTTACATGATTAAATGTTGATTTAATTAATTTTAGTCTGCACTTGTTGGCGGTTCAATCATGACTGCATCTTCCCGCTCAATAATAATTCATTTACTTGATTCGACCCTTATTGCACGATTTTTTTTATTATTATATTTGAACAGCGATCAGAACCCAATAGTTCTATAAGCTGTTGTGCTGATTTGACTTAATAATAGTCTGTTCGACAGATGGCAACCCAAACAGTTGTCACATCTCTGTATGATAAATTATTATTACAATTTCTGTAATAGGGCGAGTATGGTGCAGCAATGCCGGGTGCGGGCTATTTTCACTTGGAAACATATTGCTATCTATATTTTCAAGTGAAAATCGTTGTCACTGTTGCCTGACAACAGGCTGCTCGAAGTGGGTATCGAACCCGGGACCTCTGGAACAAGTCCCGTCGCTCTTAACCGCTTACCTATGGGCGAGCCCTATTGCACGAATAAGGGTCGAATTATAAAAGTTTTATATAAATGCCAGATTTGGTACTAGCATATAATCTTAACATCAAATCTTAGTCCCGGGTTCGAATCCAATTTCGGTCGGTTCGGAAAACAGCTTGATACCAAATTTTCACTTGAAATAATAGATTTCAAATATCATCTTAAGTGAAAATGGCTTTTCGTGGGCACTGCTGCAGCATATGTATGTGCAGAGGGGGCAATAGCTATAGTAGCAACATGCCTCTTACAAGTAAGAGGTACTCAGATTGTATCCATTTACTCATAAAAGAAAAAGAAGGACTCTGACTCTGTGCATTCATGACTTGGATGAATTGAGTTGGAGAGTCAATACTCCGTCGTCTACTTTCGGGAAAAGTTAAAATTCAAATATGTAATAAAAAGGAAAAAGTAATAAACATGTCATATGTTAGGAAAAAGGCAAGAAATGTAAGAAATTTACTAGTAGAAAATGTAATAAAAGTTTTAAAAAAAATAACAACGTATCTTAATAACATGAAATATAATAATAAATATATAATAGTTCTCAACAACATATAAAATTATTTTAGATTTAAAGTATATGCATACCGTTAGAATACTTAATTATATCATTTCAGAAAGTTTGGTATTAAAAATTATCTGTCTGAATTAGTGAACACAGTAACCTATTTATATTATCTTCAATCACAAAATTAAAATCTTAGCATTATTATCACGCTAACAAATATCAGCTTTATTATTACACTATAAGTTTCAGATTCATTTATAAAAAATCCTGATCAGCGATTGAATTATTATTCCACAACTTGATTCATTCGTTTTTGCTGAAAATTTTTATGGATAATGCCTGTATCATCTATAGATAAACAAGTATAATCATGTCACTTTGATTTTTTCAGGTGGATAGATGACAATCTGCCATAAAGTTGGAGTCATCCTTATGGCAACCGGCTGAGGTATGTCCCGTCGCGCGTTGCCCACTTATGACTTCGACCCTCCTCCGCCGCCGTCAAAATGCGCCAAGGTGCTCCACTGTATCTGGAAGATCATAACTTGCGTCTTCTCCCATGCATTCCTGGTCACGCTGGTCGTCGCCTACTGCATACTCGGGGCATTCACGTTTGAACACCTCGAGGCAGAGAACGAGCGAAAGGTAGACTTATTTTTGGTTTCGATACTTTTTTATTTGTAATTTCACAAAAAATACAAAATCAGACGGATCTACAGGGCCTCCATGTTTTCCACTCTTTAATTTGTCTGCATTTTTTTCTACATACTATAAAATGATATACTATATGACTTTATTTATATCATTTCTAGTAATAATTTTCTAGTAAATATATGGGATATTAGTGATATATCCTGTATGTAATTGGTACAAAATGCAGGTTTCTGAAAGGTATTTTCTAATTTGTATATAAAATTTGAACTAGTGGTGTATGGCATAGTGCCAAGGCAAATTGCTGGAACTTCCCGTATCGTAACGAAATGATTGAGAAATATTAAATGTTTTCAAATAGATTATTATAAATACGGTAACATTTTCTAATATTTATAAAAACTGTATAATCTGAATTACAAATTTAAAATTATTTATTTAAAGTATATAAGTGAACTTCAGAACTTTAGTCAGAATTTTAATAAAAACCTGAATTATTTTCGATAAACAAAAAAAAAATTTTTTGAAAAAAAAAAAGAATTTTGAAACATTTTTTTTCCAAACACAATTGTTTTGCCAATATAAGCAGAATGTTTTAGGATCATTCAAATATGATACTCTGACCTCTCAAAAACTCGGTTTCTATTTTCTGCACTCTTTGCTCCGTATCTCAGTAACGGCTGGACCTGCATTTGCCAAAAACTAATCAGCACATCTCCCTATCAATAGGAATCGATTGCTTTTTGAATTTTTCAAATCGGTTCAAAAATTGTCTCCACACATACACACACTGAGGTATGCCAAAATGTTCAGAAACCTCTGAAACGTGAAGATATGCAAAAATTTTCATTTTCGATTTTCGGCACATTACTATAACTTACCCTACGGGAAGTTAATAATTACTTCTATAACTATTGTTTTTATATTCTTTTATTGTTAATATTTTTAATGTTTACTTATTTGTTAATTGTTATTTATTTTATTTTATTACTGTTCTATTTGACCATTTTTAATGATACTTCTAAATATACTATTCTTGAGGGTGCGTAATGGCGTAAGCGCGCATTCGTGTAGACGGGGTCGCAAGTCATGTCCCCGCCCTTGCAAACCTGACATCGGGCAGCAGCGATGTCCATTTTTACTTGAAAATATAGATCAAAAATATGTTTCCAATTGAAAATAATCCCATTTCGGAAACTGCGGTGTGTAATGACAATGGAAAATCTCGCACACTATTCTTCCCTAAATCGAGTTTCAGTTTAACTCAGCTCACGGACCTGCCCTAGGACAGTGCCACCCATTATTATTATTATTATACCTTTTTTATTAATACTTTTAATTATATTATTTACTATTTCAACACATAAGATTAATGGTGAGGGCTATGGGATTTCAATCGGAAGTTTCATGCTCGATACCCGATTCATATAATTTGATATCAAGCAATAGTGACATTGGTATTCACTTGGAAATATAGATTTTATTATATGGTGGAAATTGACTTTACCTGGTTGTTAGAGCAATGGGATTTCAATCAGAATTTCCGCTTTGTACAGCCTGATGTCAAGCAGTAGTATTCAGTAATTAGCACAACATCTTAAGACTAATTCGGATTGCTATAAAATAATAATAATAATCGTAATAATAATAATAATAATAATATTTGTATTTATTAAAATTTGCACAAAATGATTGATTTCTTATTCAAAACTTCATCTTTGCCAATTTGGCCAACTGTATTATTTTTTATGATAATAATTTTTTTTCTTCTCAGGTGAAACGTGGCATAGTTTATATAAGAAGCAACATGACGGAAGTTTTGTGGCAATTAGTTCGGGATACCCCGGTACTTGTTCAAGAGAATTGGACTGAAGTAGTAGTATCTAGGTTAAGGGTAAGTTAACCATCATATTCTGCTTTGAGGAAAAATTATAAAAAGTTCTAAAGTATTTTTGCTATTAGGTTTTCGAAACAGAAATTTTAACAGCCATGAAACAAGATGGCTGGGATGGTAATGAGGATGAAAATGCTATACAATGGACGTTCGCTGGTGCTTTGTTCTATTCCATAATTGTTATTACTACTATAGGTAAGTTTTTAAAATTTATAAAAAAGCTTATTCACTTATTTTAAATTAATTAGCACTATATGAATGTTTTGAAATTTTGAATTGTTTTGAATGTTTGAGCAATATTTAATTTTTTGGAAGGTGTAAAAAGGGTCCATTGCTAATATGAAAGAACCTAGAATATTCCATACATATGTAAAATACATTTTTTGAAAAGATTGTAAATTAAATGCATTTTTATGATGTATGATAAATGTATTTAATTAATCTATTTTAATTATAATTTATTATTCATTTTATTGTCATATTCACTTCAAAACCACCTACTAATTGAAAATGCGGTGCTTAATGGTTTATATCAATAATTTTTTAAGAAATATTTTATATCAGATTATTTAAAAAATTATGACTTTATAAGGGCACTTAAGAATGATCTCAAAATTATATATAATAAATTATAATTAAATAATATCAATAAATTATTTACGTAATTTAAATATAATTTTTTTATACAATAAACTGCGCTTTGGTTGAATTCATATAACTACTAACAAATAATAAAAACAACTATTAGAATTGCAAATAGCCCACTCGCGCTCACTGACTTAAAACTAAAACTTAAACTAATTAAATTTACTTATTTATCATACCTATATCTTCAAAATAAACATAAAGGAAAACTCAATATATCTTACAATAAGTCGTAAAAAATAATACAGCATTTAATGTTATCTTAAATTATATGAGAATAAATATTGAAACAATAAATATAAATAGATAAATTAATTAAGCTGATTTTTGCGGCTCAACCTCGTCGTGATGAGGATAAAATCCGAGTCGATAAGTTGGTGGTTTTCTACCAATTGGTAAAACATTATCGTAAGGTCCATCAGGGCCTACTAAAACGCCTCTGTTTGCGTTTGGAACTAGAATAAAAAAATTAACACGTCTTAAAACTTCCAAAATAAAAATATATATTTAATAAATATTTTTGTTCGGACAGAAGTAGTCAGTATAAAATGCGTTTTTATAACTCAATCCTAAGTTTTATCTTTTGGTCAAATTGTTAGTCTAAGATTTATTATTACCTCTATTAAAATTTCTATTATTGTCATATGGACCACCTGGACCCACAAGCACGCTTTTATGTGAACCTGCTAAATTTATTTTGAAGTTAGAATATTCAAGATTTTTATACCATATTAATGTGTAATAGTTATTACCTCTATTAAGCGATGGTATATTATCGAATGGGCCACCTGGACCTACTAAGACACCTCTATTCGGATATGCACCTAAAACAAATTTAGTAACATAAATGGTGTTTTATATAGAACTTTTGAGTTAAATTTTACCTCCTGGTCTAGAAACTAAACCGTTCACGCCTAGACGCCGGTATGGTGGGCGGCCAATAATTCCGGTTGGGCCGCCTGGACCTACCAAGACTCCGTTAGCTGGATTTCCTTGCGGGGCGCCGCCAAATCGGTTACCATAACCATTTCCCGCAAAATTTCCATTGCCATAGTTTCCACCTCCGTAGTTTCCCCCGCCATAAATTCCTCCTCCATAATTAGGGCGTCCAATTCCATTGCCATAACCCACACCTCCATAACCAGCGCCGCCATAACTAGCACCTCCGTAACCAGCTCCTCCGTAACCAGCGCCTCCATAACCAGCTCCTCCGTAACCGGCACCATAACCAGCCCCGTTGCCAATTCCGGCATAGCCATTGCCTGGATATTCTACAAATTTTTAGATTGCAATTTAGTCAATAGCTTACAAGATACGTAACTTTCTAGAACCAAAGTCTATTCAAAATATATTATTTGACAAAAATATAAACTAATTTCTTTTTTAAATTTTATCTTTCAATTGTTTCTTACCGAAACCTGGAGGTAATCTATTGGGGCCTAAGGGTCTTTGCGGAATTCCTCCAAAACCACCAGGATATTGTTGCTGGGGGTACGAACCGCTTCCAACTGAAGGTCCTACCAAAACAGGTCTGATGGGTCCTCTTATTCCTCCTGCAGGATATAGATTACCGCCTTGCGGCAAAGGTAACCTATTTGGCCCTCCTTCCGATACTTGGTAACGTGGATCGTAACTAAGGAAATTTAAACAAATTAATTAATTTTTCAAAAATGATTTTTGAAAAAACTAAAATATTTCATATTACATAAGCATATCAATAAAACATTAGCCAGGATAAAAACTTGTGATATTAACACACTTTCGGCGGTACGGGTACTGGTACTCGATTTTAGGATTGTCATTCAACTGCGGGTGCGGGTATTTTCGGGTACTCGGTCGGACACGCTAGATGCGAAGAGCGAACGAAATTTCTTACTATGAGGGGTTGCAACGCTAGTTTTATATTTATTATAAAACTATAATAAAATTATAATTTATTCTTTAAAATTATTTTTGATAAGTATATACGTATTCTCAACGTAAAACATATAATTTTCAACGTAAAACTCTAGATTGTATATAGTATGATTATAAGTGATATACATAATTTGAGAATGGAATTACTTTGTCTAATTACCTGGTAAGCAACAGTAACGTACCTGGTAAGCAACAGGTAATTTTATCAAATACAGTATCCGACGAGTAATAAAACTAATTCATTAATTTACTGTTGAATGACGAATTTTTTGCAATGTTTTTCCATTGTGCTTGGATTACAGGTAATTTGAAAATGTACGATATGATATTTCTCGTATTTTATTATCCAATTTCTTCTATTTTAAAGAATTCAACGGAATTAAATGTATTTAATAACCTGTTACTTCCTATTACCTAAATAAATCCTCAAATATATATTATATATATATTTAATATATTTAATATATATATATATATATATATATATATTTAAATTAAACATTTTATTTTGAAGTCTTTTGTCACCAAACGTTTCAACATTTTATTCTAAATTTTTGCATTTTTTTGAATCAATTATTATTTATCATGGATTCTGATTGCGATAGTGAAGTATATGCTGACAATTTATCTGAAGTATCAAATATTGGAAATCTTTATGACTTTGATAGTGATAGTGATAGTGACAATGATGACTTGTTTCGTACTAACCGGAATAGAGTTATGTCTATTTCATCAAGAATTAATTACATTTTTTAACTTAATTTGCAAATATTTTACCTTCAGTATTGATAGTTTTACCACATAAAAACTTAATATTATTATCTTATTTACTACTGCGTATGAGTTTAGGCAGTAAGTATTGCACGTAAAAGACTGTGCTTTCATGCCATGCTCGCGCATTCGCGCCGTTGTAAAAACCCCGCTACAGGTCCAAGTTAGCCCGAAATCCTATCCGCCGAAAGTGTGTTAAGATAAAAAATAATTCAAATAAAAATCTTATTAATGAGAAAATTATGGAAGTAAATGAAAAAAAAACTGATATAAAATGATTATATTCTGTTGTAATTTTAACTGATTAATATTGACGTCATTAAGAGTCACTTTAAGGTTGCTAGAATAAATAATGAATAAAACTAATTGTAAGTGCTATAGTGCTAAAAGTAATTCATTCCATTTTATATGAGCAAATATGATAAATTATCTCACATATTAGGGCCTTGTCGATCATTTTCCAAATCATCCAATTCGTCTTGCAATGGTTTCCTTTTGTCTGTTTTGGTTCCGCTGGTTGGGGAATTGTGTTTCCTGGGTGCATCATCAGAACGATCTTGTAATTTATCTGACCAAACCCATTTGTCTTCTGCTGATGCCAAACTTGCAACTGACAACAGCACAACTGAAAATTGATTAAAAACTTTCATAAAACAACATTAATTATATACTTATAAATCTTAGTTCGGGCCGTTCATTATTAATATTTATAAAGGAATTATAAGAATGATGTAATAATTAACTTCCCAAAGGGGAAGTTTGTTTTCATCAAAAAATTCGATTAGCTAATTTTATGTTTTCTCGACGTTTCAAGCCATTCTGAATCTGATGAAACCAAATTTGGAAAAAGTATGTGTATGTGAACAGAATTTTTGCCGTAAATCGATGATTTCTCAAAAAATTTAAAAGCCATTCGATGTGTCTCGATGAGGACTAGCTTTTATCAATTTTGCGCGACGATCAGCCAATCCGTTTCTTTTTAAATCACAGATTTCCGCATTTCTAAGGTCCACTGTTCGAATATAATCTAGTGGACTCCTTAGGCTTTGCCATGACCACCCTCTATTTAGCCAATACAGTTTTTTTTATAAATTTTTATTTGTAAGTTTAGTATTAAACATTTAAAGTAAAGATTCAAATACAAGTTCAGATATTAATTAATTGACTTTTAAATGATAATAAAAAAATAGGTATCAACAAGGCGTGTTGAGATCCACTATCGTGGATTTCTAATAATTTTTTTGCTGATGTGGTCTCCTTAAAAGTTGTCTTGGATCCCTGAGAGTCCATATTGACCACTTTGGGAATCACTGATCTCAGACCATTGAGGCCTTCTAACTTAGCTTCCAACCTATTTTTCACAAAAATGACAACAGTGCAGACGTTGTGTGAAGTTGATCAAGAATGTTTGACGAGGTTTTATTACTGGACCAATTGATTCGAATATTTTATTGAACCGCATGCAGGTTGCGCACAAGTTACATAAGAATACTAGTTTTATTTAGTTAAGTGTGTCGTATGCATTATAACAACAAATCGTCGTCTTTCCCAATGTTAATGTGATAAATTATAAACGTAACGGCCCAGCGATCTTGTTTTAATATTACACCATTTGTTTCTGCTTCGTTAGCCTTCGCTGACATAAGAATAAAATTCGCAATTCATTATTCTGGGCTCAAGTAAAAGTTCTTGAACGAACTTTTATTGATATATGGCATATTGTCTCGATCAACCTAATTTTTAACTTGAAAACTCATAAAAAATCGAAAATGATTTTTTTTATTTATCTTTACGTTTCAAAGGTTTCTGAACATTTTGGCAGCATGGCATCATGCCTTAACGCAAATTGCTGGAACTTCCCG